CAACCTTTTCGTTGCTGTCATCATGGACAACTTCGATTACCTGACAAGAGATTGGTCGATTCTTGGACCCCACCACTTGGACGAATTCGTTCGCCTGTGGTCGGAATACGATCCTGACGCAAAGGGCAGAATCAAACATCTGGATGTCGTGACGCTTCTGCGAAAGATTTCACCGCCATTGGGATTTGGCAAGCTCTGTCCTCATCGCCTTGCCTGCAAGGTACACAAGTGAATGTTGTTTTGTTGTGACTTTTATCCCGTTATTAATAAGATAGTCACCGACTTCACTGCTACCTTTGTTTTATCGGGCCTGCTTTCTTCGTTCCCACTCGGAAAAAATTTAATACTGTTGACATTGTTGACTAATGTTCGACAGTAACTTTAGCACAAAAACCTATACGATAGTCATAAAGGCGAATCTAAAACGACCAACGAAAAATTACTAGAATTTGAACATGATTGTTTTGCATGTTTTAAGTTAGTCCCGCACGCGCCTGACAAAGTCATACCTACCAGGAAAGAAGAAAAGTTCATTAACTTTGAGATGTCGGTTTACCTTTCGTTTCTGTAGTTGACATCTTGTGTGATTTCATGGTTTTACTGAGTGTAGGATTCAGCTTCATTGTGGCTGTCATACTATCAGCCATAGTTGTTTTACTTATTAAGTAAATACATATAGTTGCGTGGCAATCTCGGCGTTTACTGTCTGGCCCGTTTTCTTTCCTTCCTTCACATTGGTTGCTCATTCATATATGTTTTATCTTCACGGCGTCAGATCTGGATATAGGTTTATTGTGGTGGCCGAGTCGGGCAAAGCAAACTCTCACAAGGCGAGACGTTGCAACGTAACACACTAGTAACAAAACGATGTGTTTACATCCTCGACGATCGGCGCGTAGTAAATGGTGCTCTCACATATGCCAATGCCTAGAGCGCATGATTTGACCTGATTACATGGCAATGTATAGTCGATTAGATCACAGCATGCAAATAAAGTAGTCGGTCGCTTCAATGCACGATTGACTCATGACGATGACTTATAATCGTCCCTAACAATATAGCATAGAAAAACGGCGTTAAAGTGATCCTCAATCCCAGATTGTGATTTAGACCCGCTATTTTTCGACTACTACCTAAACACTTTTTCTATTGGACTACTGCATTTGAAAACGACACGACAAGTGAGTGACACGAAATGAGCTCAAGGTGGGGTACAGCGTGTGAAAAGTTTGAAAAAAATTCTGAATATTGTGAAGTAAATCATAACGCAATGTCTTGGAACGGACCACACCGGTAAGTGAGATATCAGATAAGTTAAGGTGAATTGCAACCGTGAATGTACTCATCTCACAGCAGCACCGTTTTTCACCCAAAGTCTAGTATGACCACACTAAAGCACTATGTTTTTTGCACTCGCGGAACCACTGGGGCGAATTTCTTACTCAGTGAAGTTAGCAGTTAATATGGGAACATTTTCGCGTTAAATTTAAACCGCGCGTTTTTAAGTGTAAACCTAGCTGTTAGTCCATTGCGCCATTAACGCCCCTGGATGTTCCGGCGGCTGCCCCAAATTTGCAATAAACATATTCGAATAATTGCTTTTGAATGGCGAAAGCTCGCTTGAAATGAGGATATATCGGCCTGAATCCTGTTCAGAGACGAATTTGCTTGCGCGGGAAATCCATGATTTCTCCAGAGTGCAATGAAGCACAGTTTTGTTTCATCGTTCAGTGTGCAAAGTAAAATGTAACTAAGCCTCCCGATGCGGAGTTGTTGATGCGTCTAGGCTGTCATCGCGAATGTCCCATGAGTTCCATTTTTTCCATAGCTTACCATGAAATTACCTGCCTGATATTCAGTGGTTTCAGAGATTTGAGGTGGCTGTTTTGGCGGAATTATAAAAATCACAGGATTGTTTGCAACTCTGACAAAGGTCATAGCTGAAAGAGTCTACAGGTTCGCGCGTATTAGTTTATTCTCGCCGGATTTCCTTTCGCATTTGTATTTTCGCACAATATTCATGGTGACACATCTTTGACACCATTTAAAAAGGTCAGATGTCACAAATCTGGATGATCTGATGTTCAGGATTTGCTAACTGTATATACTGGTAACTGTTACCTCAGCTACAAATCCTTGGACCAGAGCTGCAAACCGTAATTACATTTTAACTATAGCACAAAAGCCCCAAGTATGCCAGGAACAAGACAGTGGTAGTAGCAGACAACAGTTCATTCTCTGTAAGACACTTGTTCTAACTGTAAAAATCAGCTATACTGCTCCTTTGTGTTTCTCTTGACTAACATTATTGCAACCTCTAGTACTTCTCTGTACTCAAGATTTGATCTTCATTAACAACATTAGCCCAGAACTTCTCTTTTCCTTTCTGGTCGCAAAAGCATTTGCTTTAGCTGACTTTTCGAATGACCCAAGTCTGCCACGAAGTAGGCAAATTCCGTGACGTGGATTTTTTCCTTGGCGCGATAACGCCAACGTTTCTTCTATATAGTCGAATGATATTGTACGCGATGTGCATCTGAGCCGTTTTCTCAGTAGCTTTGCAAATGCAGAGCGCTTGGAGAGGCTCCTGCTAAATTCTCTTCACATGTCCAAATCAGGGTGCTTTGCATTAATGCTGCCTTATACGATAATTCATACTTATACAAGTTATTACAGCGGTTACTGAGCAAATTCGTACCCCTCCAATTGCCTTAAGGGGGATATCTAATTGTTAGCAAAATTCTAAGCAGAATGTTTTCTCATCTTGCACTACTGCTGTTGATTCTGCTATCAACAAAAACAGGTCTCTTTTCGCATGTATGTTAACATTATTATTTGATCGTTTTGTCTTTCAACACAGTAGCATTCACAAAATGATGGCTTATTAATTTGACAGGCGATAGCGATATTTCTTCACAAGGGGTCGTGATAAACTTGTTGTTTATTGCGATCATCGCCTTCTAAATCAAGCTTCTGCATCATCTGTGACACCAGGAACACAGTCACAGTTGTGGTAAAACAGTGTACGTTGCGCGAGGCTACGACCATCGAATGCTTCAACATACTATTAAATCAAGTCGAGTCAAGGCTCTTCAGAATAGACACTTTAATGGGTGTTTCCGTAGTCTTTCCAAAATTACCCCTGCTATTATTTTTCTTTCAGAACGGTGCGTGCAGTTTTCATAGTTCCAGTGTTTTTCTTTCTTTAGAGGCTAGTGTCGATGAACATGCCCTTGAACTCAGACGGGACGGTGTGCTTCAATTCGACGCTGTTCGCACTCGTTCGAACTAACCTGAAAATCTACACTGAAGGTAATCAGCAACACGCATTGTTCGTATGCATATGATTGTAAGCGGTGTTTGTCTGTGATTTTAGAAAAGCCCTATATTTTTTTGAAAAAGTCCGAAAACGAAAATCAGAGTTTAGGTAATAATAATAATGGTGATGAAAAGTAAAAGCGGAATTAACCGCCGGCCACAGTATCTGCGCTGCTGTGCAGGGCGCTTTTTTCTCATCGTTTTCCGTTTGCGGCTGCTGCCTCTCCACTTTTGATGAGAGCACATAGGCGAGTCTGCTGACTCTTGACTGTTGCTTCCCGCCTGCGGCCGTCTGGCTTTCATCTTTAGTCGAGAGCTTTTTGCTTTTTTTGCACGCAGGTTTCGTAAGCTACGATGTTGGTGACGATGATGATTTCGTTGTTGCTTGTTGTGGCTCACTTGTTTTCCAGAAAACTCAACTCATCTTCACATTCGATCACTGTTAGATTAATGCATAAAGTTTTTGGATATTTTAGATTTAGGCGTGTTGTGTACATCAGAGTGAGGAAATCCATGATGCATGCACAAACCACTTTCTGCAGTGGTTCTGATTCGGTGACTGTTGCTGTGTGGGGTTACACTTCCACTCGGTCGGCCGGCTGTATGGCAGATCAAATTTCGTGTGGTCACCACCCTGTTTTTGGGCTGAGGAGTTTTTACTGGTCTATAAATCGTTGCGCAGCATGAAAGGAGGAATTAAAATTGCGCTGAGGCTGTAAAAACAAAGTCCACCTGAATACCCAACGGGGTGGTATGTTGTTGCAAGGGTGATCACGCTGAGTTTATCGCGTAGATTTCTGCTTGTCTTTTTGACTTTGAAAGGATTGAGAACCTTTTTCTTTTTTCCCTGTTTGAGGAGAATCTCACGTGGTTCCATAGTTTACTGTTTACCTGTACGAAAGAGTTATGTCTCTTTTACTGAGACGCGTCGTATGTTCCTGTATCCTTTCTTCCAGTTTGCCAAATGTTGTTATTCGCCCAGAAGCAGTTGACGCGGTTCGCAAACCCAGTTTTGTCCCATTTTGGTTCCATAATAAAGTATTTTGATGAATCCAAGTGGGAGAATCAATTCATTTATGGCTGGTCACATGATAAGAATTGAATTTTTTCAGTGGTTTCCAGTATTCTACACCGAAGCCTGGTTTACCAGGCAGGAGAACGCTGGCATAACATTAGCATTTGATTAATTCAAAGCCGTCAAATTTTAAACTTCAGTGTAACTAGAGTTTGCTAATGCACTTGAAACGGAACACATTTTAAACAATACTATTTGGATATTTCAAAAAATTCGAGAGAAAAAGATTTGCCCTTTAATCATAATGGCAATGTATTCACTTCTGAATAGTTCAAAATATGATTTTAAAAACAGTTAACAAAAATTCTCTTCGCTTATGCCTTTGTCTGCCACTTCTGGTTGTCTTAAATTTATTTAAATTATTATTCATCTAAGTTTATTACAAATATCGTTTTTTACTGTGCTGCATTGTCTCTGATCTTGGTGATCACTCATTCTGATATAATTTACAAAACAAATACTTAGTTCGTCTCAATTTTTGTGCATTGCTCCACCGCCGTATGCATAGTCGTTTCACGTCATCACGCAGTAGCGACACTGAACAAAAGCTGACCCTCGTTACATGTTGTTTTTATCGCATTTCAAGTTTTTTTTCTAACCATTTGTTTTGTTGTAGATTTACTTTTGGCGCTGTCCGCTTGCAGTTAATTTGCATGTAGTTTTTTTCTGGAATCTGCGCGTCATTTGTTTGATCTCTGACGGCATTTCGGATGCTTGTATTGCGTTTTTATTGCTCTCTTTTTGCCTTTTGACGCCTTGCTCTTGCTCGGCACCATTTTGATTGCTTGGTTTGAGTTATATCCTCATATACTCCAAAGTGTTGGCTCTGAGTCCTTCGGAAGCTTTCATGCCGTCGGTTTCTGACGTCTTTACGCTGGCTAATAGACGGTGTTTTTATTTCGTTGGCGAATTCGAGGCGCACGGAAACTCGAACTCGACTTCGTCTGAGTCATGTACTTGTACTTTCTTGTGATTCTGTACAAAAACGATGAAGAAGGAGGAACGTTGGTGATGTTTGCCACGACCAGATGACTCTGTGTTAAGCACAGATTAAGTACAGTGTATGTTATCTTAGGGATGTTAACATTTTACGCGTCGTTTTAAACAGAATCGTTTGTAAATGCCTTCGAACGATACCTCGTTTAGATGCTAAACATTTATAATAAGCTAATATTTTAATTTAATTTAAATTTATATGGATTTTGCAGTTTTTTATGGTAGCTGTATATTAAATTTAATCATTACTGCAGTTTGAAACCGTTTTAATTGTCGATAACATTT